CGCAGATGTATTTTTAATACATTGTTTCCAGTTTAGGATGTTGAACGCTGGATCTTCTTGACTCAATGCGTGGGTATTGCTTGTGTCTCTATTTTTATGACTGGGCAACTCATTCTATTATCTCCTTATGAGGGTACAGCTCTAAAACTCAGTTTTATGGTTCTGAGGCCGGCTGGTAGTCAGGTTTCCTGAACTCTGTGGTAGCTCTCAGAGAGGCTGATTCCATCAACAGCCGAAAAATATCAGAGTACTAACAGTGCCATGTTGGGCATGGATGGTGTCCCTGTTTGTACTTTTAGTGTGCATTGCAGAGGCCACATTTGGAGCCCTTTGTTACGGCTTAGGGTTTATTAATAGTAATGAGGCTATTGCTTAGTTGTTAAATAGTGTACTGAGTACTATCTATACTTGAGTCAAGTTCTTTATAAATTTAAAATGACTAAAGTACCTAAAACTAAAAAACACAAAAAACCATCGTCATCACCAAGTTCTCTAAACCTATCATTTACTAATATTCGTGGTCTTCGAAGTAACTTTTCTTCTGTTGAGTCTTATCTCTTGCAAAGTTCACCAGACCTACTTGCTCTTTGTGAGACTAATTTGAGTTCGGCTGTCCCATCTTGTGATCTTAGTGTTGATGGTTATCTTCCTTTAATTCGTAAAGACTCCAATAATCACATGCTTGGCCTGGGCATCTACATTCGTAAGAACTCACCCATTTGTCGTGAAACTAGGTTTGAATCTACAGACTATTCATTTATGTGCTTTTGTTTAGCACATCTTCACTCTATCGCCTTTCTCTTTGTTCTATATCGCTCTCCTTCATCCCAAGATTGCACTATTCTTGATGTTATTTCTGATCAAATTGACCAAGCCCTCTCTCTTTATCCATCGGCCAATATCGTCGTTGTTGGTGACTTTAATGCCCACCACACCGATTGGCTTGGCTCTAGTGTCAGTGACTCTGCTGGCGTTAAGGCCCTCAACTTTTGCCTTTCTCAATCTCTAACTCAAATAGTCAACTTTCCAACTCGTTTTCCAGACAACCCTAATCATTTACCTTCTCTACTCGACTTATGTCTTGTTTTGGATCCTAGTCAGTGCTCAATTTCTCCACATTCACCCTTAGGTACTTCTGATCACGGTTTGATCTCTCTTAAACTATTATCAAATTCTTCTACTTCATCAGAATCCCCCTATTATCGTACCACATAAAACTACCTTAAAGCTGACTGGGACTCTTTCCGTGATTTTCTTCGTGATGGTCCTTGGGTAGAAATCTTTCGTCTTCCTGCTGACAAATGTGCTTCTTACATAACTTCGTGGATTCAGGCTGGCATGGAATCTTTTATTCCCTCTCGACGATTCCAGGTCAAGCCTCACTCTTCTCCTTGGTTTTCCTCACATTGCGCTGCAGCAATTTCTAATCGAAACTGTTACTTCCATATCTATCAGCAAAACAATTCTCCAGAAAACAGACATCTGTTCACTATCGCCAGAAACCATTGTAAAAAGGTTTTGTCTGACGCCAAAGCTCGCTATTCCCAGGTCATTAAATCTCGTATCTCATCACAAAAATTAGGCTCTCGAGACTTCTGGAGAATCTTTAACAGTATCAATAATAAGGGCAAATCTGTTATTCCTTCTCTCTTGTATGGTTCAGACTTTGTCACCTCACCTAAAGACAAAGCTGAATTGTTTGCTTAGAACTTTTCATCAATATCATCTCTTGATTCCACTAGTTGCGTTTTACCTGACATAGCCGTCAAACAGGTTGATCCCTTGCTTGACATTCGCATCACTTCAGCTTCTGTATCTAAAGTAATTTCCTGCTTAGACTCTTCAACAGCTTGTGGTCCTGACAACATTCCTGTTGTAGTCTTGCAGAGGTGTTCTCCTGAGCTTTCATCCATACTCTCTAAACTATTTAACAAGTGCTTATCAGAGTCTTGTTTTCCATCATGCTGGAAAGCAGCATCTGTTATCCCTATTTTCAAAAATTCCGGAGAGCGATCTGATTCATCTAACTACCGTCCCATTAGTCTTCTTCCTGTCATAAGCAAGGTTTTTGAATCTTTAATCAACAAACACTTAATCTCTCATCTTGAATCAAATAACTTACTTTCTGATCATCAATATGGATTTCGGTCTTCTCGTTCTACAGCTGATGTGCTAACAGTAATAACCGATAGGTTTTACCGTGCATTAGATAGAGGTGGAGAGGTTAAGGCTATCGCACTTGACATTTCTAAAGCTTTTGATAAAGTTTGGCATGCTGGTCTTCTCCATAAGCTTTCTTCTTATGGTGTAGCTGGTAACGTCTTTAAGATTATTGAGTCCTTTCTTTCCAATCGTAGTATAAAAGTTGTCCTCGATGGACAACACTCTTCTTCACATCCTGTAACTGCAGGGGTTCCTCAAGGTTCAATCCTTGGCCCTATACTCTTTTTAATTTACATTAACGATCTTCCAGATATTCTCACATCTAAGGTGGCATTATTCGCCGACGACACTACCATTTACTCTTGTCATGATAAGAAGCCTACACTCTCTGATTGCTTGGAGGGGGTATCTGAGCTTGAAAAGGATCTCACTTCTGCTACAGCATGGGGCTCACAGTGGCTGGTGAACTTTAATTCAGATAAAACTCAATTTTATTCGGCCAATCGTTATCGTAATAATTTAGATCTTCCTATATTTATGAATGGTAATGTACTAGATGAGTCATCTACCATTCATCTTCTAGGATTAACTCTTACTTCTGATCTTTCTTTTAAACCGTATATCAAATCCATTGCAAAATTAGCATCTGCTAAGGTTGCATCTCTTTATCGAGCTCGACACTTTCTTACTCCAGATTCTATTCTCTATCTCTATAAATCTCAAATCCGTCCCTGTATGGAATACTGTTGCCACATCTGGGGCGGATCTTCTAATGATGCTCTTTCTCTTTTAGACAAGGTGCAAAAACGAATTGTAAACATAGTTGGACCTGCTCTGGCAGCCAATCTCCAACCTTTGTCACATCGTCGTAATGTTGCTTCTCTTTCTCTTTTCTACAAATACTATAATAGGCACTGCTCTAAAGAGCTAGCGTCCCTTGTGCCATCTACTAAAATTCATTCTCATGTTACTCGCCATTCAATTAAGTCTCATCCTTTTTCTGTGACTGTTCCTAAGTGCTTCAAAAACTCTTATTCTTCTAGTTTTTTTCCTCGAACATCAGTTCTTTGGAATTCGCTTCCTTAATCTTGCTTTCCTGATTCATATAATTTGCAATCTTTTAAGTCATCAGTCAATCGTTATCTTGCTCTACAGATTTAGTCTTTTCTCTTCCAGTAACTTCCAACTCTTATAGTGGTTGCTTGCAGCCTTGTTGGAAGTGAAGATGTTAAAAAAAAAAAAAAAAAAAAAAAAAAAAAAAATTTAATTAACAAATAAAATTAAATTTTTAAAATTGCATGTGTCAGCTTAAGTGTTTTTTAGTGTGCTAGCATTACGTTTTAATAAGAGTTATAATTTTTATTATTAATAATAAAAATTATCACTGTAATTATCTGTTTAAAAGATTGTCTTTTTGGTTAATTAAATATTTGCTTATACTTCCAAGATATCCATTATGTTATTCTTCCAAGATATCTTTACAATTTTATTTGAGTTATGTTTTCTTATTTTTTATTTTTATGGAATTAATATTAGGCATGACCATGGACTTTAGGTCATTAAATTTAAGTTTGTTATTTCTGAACCATCTACAGAATTTTATTAAGACTTGGTTCCGTTAAAAAGTAGCTTCTTTGAAGTTTTTACCCTCAGTACATTGATTGATAGATGTTGCATTGATTGTCATCAAAGAAATTAAGAAAAGAATACTGAATTTTTAATACAATATCATTCATGTAAATAATATGCAAAAGAGGTCCAAGCACACTACCCAGTGGAAACCATATATCACAAACCAGTTCACCTGCTTCTTTACATTTTATTTTGACTACTGCAGTTCTTATTAAAAGATAGTTTGATATACTTTCGAAGAAATAAAAGTTCACTGATATATGGGAGCCATATATAATCAAGTGTCATGAAGGGTGACCTTTTTCAAAAATTCAATAAAACCAATGACTTTTCAGTTACTTTCAAACCAAAAGTTCATCTATTTTTTATATTGGAAACTGGAGTTACCAAAAATTCACATCTTTAATGCCCATTTTACTTATAATTAAATAGTTTTACATCTGTTTCATAAAAAATATTAGTTTGGATTTATAAATTAAAATTTTTTATAAAAAATACTTGTAACATGGTGTTGTATTGTAAGTTTTTATGAACTGATATGAACTTTTTATATATATCTTATATATATAAAAAATGCTTTAGGCATTGTAATTTTAGATCTTTTGTGTGCAATATCTTTTCTTATAATGGAATTATTTTATTCAGTTTTAGTGTTGTAATATTTTATTATGCCTCTGAAGTCCTTAATGCAAGTGGGGTGGGAATTTTAGTCCAGATCTAATAAAGGCAGGGAGGAGGGCTAATATAAGGAATTTTTCTCAAATCTAATAAACAGAGGGTTATACTAATAGTTTATAATTTATGAATCCAATCTAATATTTTTTACAAGCCATGCATAAAACTATTTAATTCTAGCGTGACTTTTGATCAAATGCGCATTTTCTAACAGCAGCTTAATTATAATTTCAATAGGATTTAAAATGCTGTTATAAGTTTTATACTTTAGTGAAAAATTTATTTTAGACTAATCAAGATTTTTTAGGTCGACAATTTTTAAAGCCTGTTTAATTATTTTTAAGGGGGGGGGGTCCTAATAAACTTAGGGGAGTCGAAAAAATTACCAAAAAATAATAAACGCCCCCCCCTGCCTTGTATTAAGGACTCAAGTGTACAACTTATCATTAAATTGAATTTTTTGTTTTTGTGAAGTCAATTAATGCACTAATTATTTTTGTGATTTTGACAATCTTTAATATAATGATTACCTGAACAACAACATGAAGGAATATTAAAGTGACATTTTATTGCTAGGTGGTTGTAACCTCGACATTTATAAAATTGATTAATATTTAGATGTTTCCTAATTTGCACAGACTTCCTAATCTACCATTCCTTCCACAGAAATCCTAATGTACCATTTTGCTCAGTGTTCCTAAATGAACAGAGTAATAACAAATTAAATCAAGTTTATATACATACATATATCCTCTCACCACCATCACCCCTACCTACCCTGACAGTGGCTTTGAGGTAAAGGGGATTGGGTAGTACAAAATTGTACCATTTGTACATTAGTTTGTAATTTTTATTTTTTTTAGAATAATATTTCTTAGATTTAAAATAATATCTCATGATATTCTTGTATGACAGGGTTTGAAATAGCTTAAGTTACTGCTATAATACATTGCTTAAAATGGGTTTTTACTAAAAATTTTTTTTAAAAAGTTTTTAAAATTTTTCAATACATATTTATAAATTTCTGTACTTTTAGAAAATATACACTTTTATGAATATTTAAAAAAAAAATTTTTCATTAAATTTGCCTTTAAATTATTTATCTTAACTTTACACCCTTTGCAACCATAATTTCATCATTGTAACAGAACTTTATGGCCCAAATTTAAAATTCTAAAAATAATTTAATAAAAACCTATTATTTAACCAAACCTATTATTTAACCAAACCTTCAAAACAAAATTTAATTTGGTATGTAGTTTATAACATTAAAAACATAAAATGTGTTTAAAATAAAACAAACTAAAAACTATTCTAATTAATAAATTAGAATAAAATCAAAGCATTATAGCCATAAACCTTTAAATATAATACTTTTGCATATACATGCACTATCTATAGACCAAAGGAGTACAGTTAAAATAAATAAAAAAATAAAGGAGTAAACAAAAAAATACTAAACAAATTAGATACCAGGTTCTTTTTTATTTATTGCTTTCTAATTAATTATTGATCTTAGCCAAATTACAAGTATATGCTTAAATGTTTTTTTTTTTTTAAAAAAAAAAGTTATCTTGATCAGAATTTAAAACATTTATGTTGTAAAATTTTAAATATTTTATAATTTAGTTTTTGCTTCACTAGTTTAATATTTGCAATAGTTTCTACTTTTTAAACTCAAGACACAAAAAAATAATGATGCTTTTACAAAAAATATTTGACTATTACAAATGTTTATGATTAAAATAAAATTTTCTTTTAAGGAATTCATCCGTAAAATGAAACAAAATTATTACTGAAATTACTTATTACACATTAATGTGTTATGTACTCTGTTAATTTTAGGGATGCACCAAACCCGGTTTTTGGCCGAACACCAAACCGAATACCGAACTTTTGCTATTTTTAAATATAAACATTGGTTTATGTCAAAAACATTTTGAACTCGAAGTGAATACTATATTTTTAAAAATTTAATGTGTTTTTTAAAACATTTGATTTATTTTGAAAATATTTGAAGAAACTTTAAAAAATTATCAAAAGTAAATTTATTATTGGATGATTGTTTGTAGTCACTACACTAGAATGTAGTGTAAAGAAGTAAAAATGTTAAGAAGTTTTTATTTGAAAAATGAAAATTTAAATTTATGAGTATGACTTATTAATAATGAGTATAACTTGTTAATAATGAGTATAAATAATTAACATTATTTATACATAATTAATATAATAAAATAATATTGTAATTTATAAATTAAACTTCTTAAAATAATTTTTTACGTTAAGAATTTATTTTAATAGTTGTTAATTGTTAATGTTAAGGCTTAAAGTTAAGCTATTTAGCTAACTTTTATATTTGTAGACTATAGTAAAAGCTTAGCTTATATCTTATAACATTTAAGCTAAGTTTATACTCTATTCTACAAATATAAAAGTTACCTAATAAAAATAAAGGTATAACATAAGATATCAAAACCTAGTATCTGGCATGTTTTAAGATTATACTTTTTTGTTAAACTTTATTTATATTTAGTATATATTTTTATTTATTTAGAAGCATAAAAAAATGTCTTCAAAAATAAAATTTAAAAGTACTGTTTGGAAATATTTTGAAGTTTCAAAGAAAGATTTTTGTATTTGCCTACTAAAATCATTTTTGTATTTGCCTATTATGCAAAGCATTACTTTCTAGAGGTGGTAATTGTCTTAAAACATTCACCACTAGTGCAATTAGATGTCATTTAAAAAACAAGCACTTTGCAGAATATAAAATAGCTGAAAAAAGTCTGACAAAAAAAAAATTGAAACATCTACATCAACTACAGTCTCTACATCAAGTGATTCTGAATTAAAAAACAATTAACATTACTGGAGAGTCTTAATAAAAAAAAGCTGTGGGATGTAAATGATCAAAGAGCTATCAAAATTCACAATCACATTGGAGAAATGATGACGTTGGACATTCAACCATATTCGATTGTAGAAGATCTTGGTTTTAGAAAATTAATTAAAGAGCTGTGTCCTAATTATCAAATACCTAGTAGGAGATATTTTAGTGAAAATTTCCACAAATATATAATATTCCACAAATATATAATAAACTATTTAGTTTTATCAAGAGTAGTATATCTGCTGCCATTCATATCTCTCTTACAACTGACATTTGGACAACAAATAGTTCAAATGTTGCCTTTATAAGCATGAAAGCACACTGGCTCAGTAATGAATTTTCCCAACACAGAGCAGTACTCAGAGTTATGCATTTTCCAGAAAGTCACACAGGAAAAAACATAAGTGAGTATTTACATAAAGGTTTAGTAAGTTTTGAAATTCCACACACAAAAACTCACATTGTTTTACAAGATGCGGCCAATATGGTAGCTGGTGTAAGAGACAGTGGTTTTAGATCAATGCCATGTTTTATACATACAATACAGTTATGTATGCATGACTCAATTTTGTTGCAAAAATCTGTTAAGGATATTTTAGCTTGTTGCAAACGTCTGGCAACTCATTTTCACCATTCGCCAACAGCAGCAGCAAAATTAGAAGCAATTCAGGAACAACTTGGTACAAATAAGCACAGGTTAATCCAAGATATTACTACAAGATGAAGCAGTTCTTATGATATGATTGAAAAGATGCTTGATCAAAAAGTTCCTTTGGCAACTTATACAGCTGATCATCCTACCCAATCAACACTAAATTCTTTTCAATGGGGCTTATTAGATAAAGTGTTGCATATTTTAGAACCATTTAAAACTTAAACCATTAATTTCAGTAAACGTGAATCATATTTGTCAGATGTTATTCCTTCAATTATGGCTCTGAAAATTTTTTTTAATCAAGCATTAGTATGTGAGGCTTTTTTAACAATAAATACTTTAGTTGAACATTTAAGTGGGTCAGTAGACAAAAGATATTTACATGAAAAATATTTGTCCTTCCACTTTTTGTGACCCTAGATATAAATTGACATATCAAAAGGAATACAAGGATAAAATAAAAAGTTGGATAAATGAACAGATGCAAGAAATGCAACAAAGTAATTTAGAACTTGAATCCTCTGATTCTGATTTTGACGAACCTTCAGTACATAACACAAATGAAGTAATTGCAAAACCAGCTTATCCAAAATTCAATGAATATTTTCAGAAAGTTTCTAAACTGATAACTATAGATGAATGTGATTCCAATATTGTAAATACTGAAAATAGCAAAAGGTTAAAAAGGTCAAATTCTAGTATAAAAATGATAAACAAGAAGATTGAAGAGTATTTAAAGCTACCTCTTGTCACAGAAAAAGAAAATCATCTCTTGTGGTTGAAAAATTGTGGAAACTCTTTTAAAAATTTAAAGAAAATTACCCAAAAGTTTCTTTCAGCACCACCATCTTCTGTTGAAAGTGAAAGACTTTTTAGTACAGGTGGTATCATTTACGAAACCAATAGAAACAGACTATCACCAGAAAGTGGCGAAAAATTATTGTTTATTCATTTTAACTTGAGGATAACAAATGATAATTGATTTTCACTCATGTTTTTAATGTTTTATTTTTTCAATAATCGATTATTTTGTTAGGTGAAAGTTTAAAATTGTTGATTTGTCTAGTATTAATACTATTGCATGTTTAGTTATATAATAATAACATAATAGTAATATGTTACTTATTTATATAGTAATAACTACATAATAAATTGGAGCATTTTTATGTTTTTGATCACCACAATAAGATTTTTCCCTAAGTTTATTCCTTTCAAATAATTTTTTCAGTTCAACTAATTGAGTAGCCAAATTACGAGGAACTTTTTTTGTAAAGATTTTTTTTTTTAACACAGCAGCTATAGGCGCCACTTAAAACGGACGTTTCTATCTGTTATTTTAAGTTTATTTTATATTATTACATTTTTGCGATTTTTCCAAAATAAAAAATTTGCTTCTTGCATGAATTTTATAACTTAATTTAAGTTTATTTATTATTATTATTGTATATAAAAGGATAAAATTAACTAAAATATTGCTCAATTAAAGGAATTTTCATTTTACACTTATACTAGTACTACTTTTTCTAAATAAAATAAACTAGTTGTACGTAATACATTCAGTTTTAAGTAATACATGCGATCAAATTAAATTCATTCTAAATTCAAAAAACTTGATGTAAATCTAATGTACTCATATGTTCTATTGAAAACTTACCTACTTACTGTTGTTCTATTGAAAACTTACCTACTACTCTTACCTATTATGCGTTGTAGATAAGAATCGGGTTTTCAATAAAAAGCCATATCTGTTGGTACTGTAGGTATTTAGGCTGATTTATGATGATTTGATGATGTTAATTTCCAAATAAGCATTTTTAGCAAATGTTCAGCTGGACATTTGTCAAGGTTTGGCCGAACCGAACATTCGGTAAAACAGCCGAATGTTCGGTTTTGCCGAACGTTCGGTGCATCCCTAGTTAATTTATTTAAAATCTAAATAGTGTTACTAAATTAATAACAAATAGGGTTTCTGAAACAGAAAAACCAAATCCGAGTATAAATGTTATTCTTCTCATATATTCAAATACGATCTTCATTAAATGGGTCCAATATCCATTAAATAATTTTTTTATATTTATAATTTTTTGAGCATTCAAAATTTAAATTTCTAATATAATATTTAATTAGTGAGAAAATTTGTATCTTGTTAAAACTCATTTAGAAAACTTTAACATTTCTTTTTATATTGTTGTGTCAACTTGTAATGGTGCTCTTAAGATAGTTAGGTATGGTTGAGATAGCCCAGTAATTTATCAGTTATGTTTCATACATTTAGCTCTTTGAATACACAATTTTTAAAGAAAAACAAATATCTGAATTTAAACATACACAAAATGATTTGTACAGTGATAATAATAATGAAATATTGAATGAAGATGATGTTGATAGTGTTAGAGAAGATTGTTTTAAAGATAAAAATTAAGCTAACGATGTTGGTCTGTGAAAAGATGAAATTATTTAAAATGTTGATGAAATTATCAAAAACATACGTATTAATATCAAACTAATAATTTCAAATAAAAAAATAAAAATAATTTGAAATCATGTTTTGCAAGACAAGATCATAATAAGGCAAGGTTTACGACATTCTTTAGAGCTCAAACTAGACGTAATAAATTGATATGGTTGAGTGTTGTATATGTTTGAGAATATATTACTGAATCTCTTCATGAGTTTAATAAAATGGGTATGCTGGCAGAAAATGACAGAAAATTTGGAAAAACTATTTGATGCTATTTTTTCAATCAAGTTAATGTCTACCGATTCTGAGCAAGCATTTTCAATATCAGCTAATTTAAAAATTATTTGCTGTTTTTATCATATTAAAAAAATTCAATAACCGAACACAGCTGCAATCAAAATATTGGCCTTTAAGAAACTATTACAACAAAGAAGATACTGTGAAATTGTGAGATGTTTTTTATATTTGTAATATTCACTGAGTTCACTGTAATATGCTATAGCATAGCATATTACAGTGAACTCTCAGTAACTCAAACCTTCAAAGGACCAAGAAATTATATTGATAGAGAATGTTAGAGTTACTAGGAGTATAATCCATAAATATAGGCTCTGAAGTTTAAAATCAAGTTATTAAGGGTTATATAGTTATCCTGAGTTTATTGTACATAAATTACATAATAATAGTATAAGATACTTTTTATTACGCATTTCATTGCACTTTATATTTGCCATTACACATTTTGATATTACACTTACTACAAACAGACAATTTGTTTCAACATGACAGTTGCCAACCTCTTGGCTGGCAAGGATAATACTTCTACTGTAAACTAAGCCAATCAAGACACTTTGAAACCATGGAAACAATATAATAACCACCTAGAAAGTATAAAAGCGTAACATTATAACACATTACACACATAGAAACATTTGATATACAACAGATGATAACACATTTATGCATAACCTTAATGCATATAAACATATAATAAATAACACATAATACCCAGCCTCAAAATGTTTGAGGTCAGCAAAAAATTGTTGATTTGGTTTTTATTTTTTTTATGGTAATTCCTTTGTGCCAAATTTTACCAATCTGATGTTGACCGCTAACAGTTTGAAGTTTTTTTCCTAATTCCAAGGGTTGCATTACCACATATGCAGGGGTATCTAGAATTTTAAATAAGTGATGCAAAATTTTTTTTATCATTTTACCTAAACTAAAAACTTTGCACTTCATCTGTTTACTTTCATTTTTCCTAAGGTTAGCCCTTCATTTCTGGATTCTTTCCTTGATAGACATTTTATGCAAAGTATTAGTAATGTTGCCTCAGATTTGCCATTTCTAGATTCTTTTTCTTGAAAGCAGTTAATATAAAGTTATAAATATTCTGCCTAAAACTAACTCTCCATTTCTGGATTCTATTCTTTTCTTGATAGGCAGTTCATGTTAAGTATTAGTAATATTACTTAAGGTTATCCTTTGTTTCTGAAGACTTTCTTATTTCTGATTTAGATGTGATATATATCAATTTTGTTCTTAATTTATAAAAACAAATTTTTTAGATCAGTTATTTTAAAACACTGCTGGGATATGTCAAAACATTTAGTTTCAAGAGTTACAGTGGTTGCATAAAAAAATTCATTTACCGTTTTGTTTTAACTACAACCTACAATAAAAGTGAACTCTGTTATTAATTTTAAAAAAAGAAAATTATTTGGAAGCAGTATCACTGTTGCATTCCTTTGATTCATTTAATACCATTTCCTCTATGAATAATATGTAATGAATAATAACATAAATAATAGGTAATAAAAAAAAAAATTAGGACCTCAGCTTTTGAATCCATCTTGTTTGAAAAGTATCAATTAATTTTCCTGATTTGGACTTTTGAGTCAGCTATTGCGTTTAGGAAATAAGTTAAAAAAATAAGAAATATCCTTTACTCCGCCAAGAAGATTTTTTACTTTTTAAACTTGAAAATCAGTAACTACAAATAAACTCATGCTATGGCTTACACAATGAACAAAAATAGCTTTATGATTAAGAGCCGTTTATTCAAGGAGCAACTCCTTTATACTCACCTGCCACATCACAACCTTCTGTGTAGAAGATTCCCCAATACCAGGATATTTGCTATCATTATGTTGTCCTCAAAATGCAAAATCATTTCTACAAAATCATTTCTACAGAAATATATTTTTTTTAATTATTGGAACTAATTTTTATGGTTATCAGAAAGAAGTTTTAAACAGGAATTATTAATATGGAGTTGCAACATAAAAGTAATGCATTAAATGAAAGCATAAACCTTTTATGTGAAATACAACTTTTCTTATGTTTTTAAAAATCATGAACAGCATTACTCCACTCTTGATGGGGCTTGAAAATTAAATTTATTAATTCAAACTTATTTAGAATACAAGCACCTAGAAAAGTACAAGGAAGGTTGTGAGCTCCATCTTCTTTGCTAAAATTAGCTAACCAAGAAAATTAGCCTTGGAATCATTTAGTTTTTGGTATTAGAATATATTGAAAAAACAAATATAGAATTAGCCTTCTACTTCAATTTTAATAAAAGTGATTATTTTGACAAAAAAAGGTTTTGTTAAAAAGAGATGAAATTATTATTATCATTAAATATAAGAAAAGTAAAAAAATTAAATCCTTTTCTGTTTAATTTATTAATAATATACATTATAATTATAGGTATTTATAAGTAACAAAAAAAATTAAGCATTATATATGCAAATAAATCATCTAGTTTGCTATTTTTCTATTAGAAATGAAAAATAACTATAAAAGTCATCATATGTGATAGAGGATTGCTGCAGCAACTTTCCATGTAGAACATTTAGGTTATGAGCGTGTTCTTTGGTAGACATAAGATGTAGGTTTGTTTATTTATTAACAATCATGTATTTAAACAGAGTTGACCTCCGTGACAATGACCTACTTGTATCCCTAAAATAAAGAACCTCATTCTTCAATCTTTTTTTTTCATTTTAACATATCTTTATCTAATTCAATAAAGTCTAGTTCATATTTAAATGGGCCGCCTTGTAACTTTAATCAAACTAAAATAAAACTCTTCTTGCACACCTGATGCAAAGTTTGCTGCTCTTCTGTTGTTATCCATTTGGTTTTGTAGCTGGTTTTAACTATATTCCATAGTTTCAATGTTTTGGACAAATAATCGGACAATAATTTTCTAAAATATTTTTAAACTAAGCAAATCTTCATTTTTTATATGGTTTAAATAATTAAGTTTACATCCACTTGCAATGAGTGGTACAGCGACACTAAAGTTTAAGGTTAATTGTAATTACTTTATCAACTCCAACAACTTAATTTTTTTTTTATTCAACCATATCAGTAAAAATTTACAAATCATTGTAAATTAATAGAATTTGGTTCGGTGTCACTCATATAGTTACAAACTAGTCAATGGAGTGACACCTAAAAAACATAAAATTCTCGAAAAAATAAAGAAATTAATAAATAGAAAAAAAAAAGAAAGAAAAAAAAGAAACAAAAAGCAAAAAAAAAAAAATGTATATATATAAATAAGAGAGAAAAAAAAAAGTTTATTAAACAGATAATAATGATATATATAATAATTATAGTAATAATAGAAAATAATAACAATAATATTTAAGTATCAATAATACATACCATAGATAATAATTAAATATAATATTAACATTAAAAGTAGCAATAATAACAAAATAATAAATTTAAAATAGATAAATAATAAATAGAGAAAAAATCAAACCACTTGCTTGTTAAAGAAATTATATAATAAAGAAAACTATAGTACAGAGAGAAATTGTAAAGAAATACACTCTAACAATATATTTTTAAATTGTATTCTGTTAAGCAGTAAATAATCCGTAACAATGGAATATTTTTTTTAGACTTTTTTATTAATGCAGGAATACACTTGGTTAAAATTTTTTTTTTAAAACTTATTTCTGATCGGTTCCTATCAGAAATACATTGTTGTTTTATGGAAAACTTACCATATTTAATTGTGTTGAAAATAGAAGAGTATAGCTTACTATTTTCTGTATTCCTGGTGTGATGATTATGGTTTTCATTTGTTTTAATAAAAAAGTTTAAAATAGAGTTTGGTAGTTCATTTTGAAGTCAAACACAAAAAGACAATTGTAAAACTTTACAAGATCATGGAGTTTTAGGATTTTTAGTTCAGAAAATTTTTTTTTGGATATCAGATCTCATTGGCAAAAACGTCATTACTCTTATAGATGCACGTTGTAAACTAGCAATGCTATTAAGTAAAAAGTTTCTTTTTTGACCCTAAACAATACAACAATAGCGAAGGTGAGAAGAGAATAAAGAAAAATAAATCTTTCGACAAGTTTGGATAGTAACATAGTAACAAATTAGAGAAAGCATACGTTAGCTCGTGTAATTTTTTTTTAAGATGATACAGTTGATTATACCAAGATGGGTTTTCATCAAGATATATTCCAAGATACTTTATATAGTTTGACGGGAAAAGTGTTTTTCCGTTAATTTTAATTTTAATAGTATCAATAGATTTTTGAGGGAAATGAAAAATAATGTGTTCAGTTTTATTGACATTCAAAGAAAAACGATTACTTAGTAACTGCTTCTAGATTTTTATTGACATTCAAGGAAAAACAATTACTATTTAACCAGTTACATAAACAATGAAGATCTTGATTAACTTTTTTGCAAAGAGTTGTAAGTGTTTTTGCAAAGAGTTGTAAGTGATTTGTTGATATATAAAAGATTGGTATCATCAGCATAATGATGTACCATAGTCAGAAAGTTAGTACTCATCATATTCCATTATCAACCAAACATATAATACTTTCCTCTTTTTTGAAGAACTGAGGCTAACTTTTGCTAAAATACTCTAGCAGAAATGATACAATCATTCAATCTCTTTGAGGTATACTTAGTAACTGCTTCTAGATTTTTTTTTAACTAGCTGTTATTGACTTCTTAAAACGTTTTGTTTAGAAAGAAACTTCAGATAAAACTTTTTTTGAAGCAATCTGCTGTTTTGATTACTTAAAACGTTTTGTTAGAAAGAGACTTCAGATATAACTTTTTTTTTTCTAAAACGCAACGATTAAAAATCAAATTCATCCAATCAAAATTTGAATAGCATAAATTTGAAAGAAAAGTTGTGTAACTTTATATGTAAAGAAATTTGAAAGAAAAGTTGTGTAACTTTATATGTAAAGAAACTTTTGCAAAGACTTTTATTTAATAATTTTTTATCTGATTTCGATATAATCTAAGTGATTCCCATAGTGTGGGCTTTTATTCAACCAAAGGGTTTTCCCAGGTCTGAAAGGTTAGAACATGTTTTACTGTGTACACTATAAAAAGTTTAAAATATTTTGGTATTGATTTTTAATAGAATTACCTTAAAGCAACATAATCTTTACTATATTCTTGCTTTGGAATAAAACAATCTGTTTCCAAAACTTAACTAAATGGCTGCACTGGACACTTAATATTCAGAATTTTCAACTCTTTAGCTAACTGATTTTTATATTTGCAAATATATTTAGCAAATCTCTAAATATTTGCAAATATAAAAATCTTTAAAACATTAATATATACTTAATATATCTATTGTATAAGTAAAATAAAGATAAAAAATTCAGAATGTTTTTATTTTCATTTTTTCATTTAAAAACAAAACAAACTTTTCTGATCTATAAAGTTGCATTTTTGTGGTTTTTTAAAAAACAATAAAATTTAATTAGTTTTCTTAATTAAGTTTAATAGTTTTTACATATAGTATAAAAATAATTGTTGGAAGATTTAATTACCGGACTTTCTCCCTCATCCACAGTTATGTTTTATCCAACTCTTAGAATTAGGTAACAAAAAGGTAGTAAACTTAAAAGTATTCTTAATACAAATTAAAGTTCACATTAATAGTTTATTAAATGTTTTGTCATGGAAATTTAGCTTACTAAAATGAATTTATAAATATGCTTTAAGTCTAATGCTTTGTTTCAATATAATTATTTTTAGATTATGAAAGATGGAAATGTTTTATACTATATTGATGGAAAAGATGAACGGTATAGCAACTGGATGAGATACATAAATTGTTCTCGTATTGAAGCTGAGCAAAATCTTGTTGCTTTTCAATATCATGGTGAAATTTATTATCGTGTTTATAAAAAGGTTGAAAAAGGAAAAGAATTTCTTGTTTGGTATGGGGATGACTATGCAAAAGACCTTGGGATTATTAACTCAAAAAAAGGTTTTAGCAATTTATTTTATTATTTTTTTAAGTTTTAATCTTTATATCTTAAATAATTTTCTTCAATTTTAATACAAATATGCACTATAAATAAATGATAATTATTGTGTTGTTAAATTAGTTATGTTATCCCTTTCACTTTGATGTTTCATTAATGATAATATGTTTTTTTATTTGGTTTTTTAGTTTTGTTTAATATGCATAAGTTAGTTTTTTTTTAATAAATATTAAATATTATATAATTATAATTATAAAAAAAGTTTAATAAATAGCTGATATAAAATGTAGTTCAAAGCTGTCAAAAAAGTTAAATTTATTAAGAAGATCTTAAATTAATATTATTTCTACATAATTCAATTTAAGACTTCATCTAGAAATAAATTTTTCATTTTAAAAAAGTTTTTTTAAAAATTATATATATATATATATATATATATATATATATATATATATATATATATATATATATATATATATATATATATATATATATATATATATGTATATGGGAAAACGGAATAGCATCGAAAATTAACTGATCAAAAAATGATTAGTATTGAAAAATAACTGACCAAAACTCATTTTAATGATTAGGATCGAAAATTTGATTTTCAGATTAATATCAAAAAGTTTTTTTATTGAATTCACAAACGTGGAACAATACCGAAAACAATAAAAACGGAATAAGATCGAAATTTTTTATAGCTAATATACATCAAAAATAAGTTTTTCTAATTAATA